TATATGGATCATGTTTTCTTATCCACTCAGCTGCCCTATGTCTTTTGATTGGTGCATTTAATTCATTTACTTTTAAAGTTATCAATAGGCACTTGTTTGTCACCATTTTTATTTTTTTATGTGTTTCTTCTTCACTTCCTTTTTCTTCTCTTTTATAGTAGACCCTTTAGCATTTCTTGCATTGGTGGTTTGGTGGTGATAAACTTCCTTCTTTCTTTTTTGTCTATTACTCTCCTGATTTCACCCTCAATTTTAATTGATAGCCTTGCTGGGAACAGTATTCTTAGATTCAGACCCTTCCTTTGCATAATTTTGTATATTTCATTTCATTCCCTTCTGGCCTGATGTGTTTCTGTTGAGAAATCAATCACTATCTGATGGGGGATCCTTTATGGGTAACTTTCTCTCTCCCCCGGGCGCTTTTAAGATTCTTACTTTGTCACTGGTGTTTGCCAACTTAATTATAATGTGCCTTGGCATTGGTCTTTTGAAGTTCATTTTGTTTGGGACTCTGTGAGCTTCTTGGATTTGTGTGAGGTTCCCCCCCCCCCTCCCATATCAGGGAAGTTTTCTGTCAGTATTCTTCAAACAGGTTTTCTATTCCTTGCTCAGTTTCCTCTTCTTCTGGAACCCCTATTATGTGTATGCTGTTTTGTTTCATCTTGTCCCAAAGTTTCCTTAGGTTCTCCTCTTGTTTTTTAAGGTGTTTTTTTTTTAAAAAAATTTAATTAATTTAATTAATTAAATTAAATTAAATTAAATTAAATTAAATTAAATTAAATTTTATTTCCTAGAGGCTGCTCTGCTTGGGTATTTTTTTCCTATCTTGTCTTCTAGCTCACTGATGTGGTCCTTCGTTTCTTCTAGCCTACTATTTGTTTATGTTTTCTATTGAGTTCTTTATTGCAGTGATATCATTTTTCATTTCTTCTTGGTTCTTCATTTCCTCTTGGTTTTTATACATATTGTTGAATTTGTCTTCCAACCTTTTCAGCAACCTTATGACCATTTCTCTGAATTCTTTCTCTGACATATTGCTTGCCTTCATTTCGTTTACTTCCTTTTTTGGTGATGCCCTTTTTTCTTTCATGTGCAGGCTGTTTCTTTGTCTCCCCATGATCTCTCTTCTCTGGGTGTCTGCTTATGTAGTTCTCTCTTTTCTGCATTGACTTAAAGGCAGAAAATACAACACAACAATGCACAACACACAAGGCACTAAGCAAAATGTATACTAATAATCCCCAGTAAAAGTGACCACCAGAGCCGAGACCGGTTTGGCTCAATGGATAAGAGTGTCGGCTTGGGGACTGAAGGACCCGGGTTTGATTCCGGTCAGGGGCGTGTACCTTCGTTGCGGGCATATCCCCGGTGGGGGGGGGGGGTGCAAGAGGCAGCTGATCGATGACTCTCTCTCATTGATGTTTCTAGTTTTCTATCTCTCTCCCTTCTTCTCTGTACAAAATCAATAAAATATATTTTTTTTAAAAAAAGTGACCACCAGAGAAAAAAGAATTAGGGGATTAAAAAAAGTGCAAGCTCTAGCTGGTTTGACTCAGTGAATAGAGGATCAGCCTGCAAATCCTAAAGCGTCCTGAGTTCAATTCTGATCAAGGGTACATGCCTAGGTTACAGGATCAATCTCCAGTAGAAGGCATGCAGGAGGCAACCAATGATTGCATGAAGTTGGCGGAGAAGGAGAATTGATTAAAAGAAGCAAAGGGACCTTTTGGGGTGATGGAAATGTTCTTGACTGTGGTGATACACTTTTGGCATATACATGTGGCAAACACAAATTATATTTCAATAAAGTTGATTTTACAGACAGAATTAGCCAGACTGGCAAGGGGACACCCTTCTCTGATATCATATACATTGATGTTTCACTCAATCTATGTCAAATGAAGTTTAGATGGCCAAGCAGAATCCAAGCTTCAATCATTCATTCATTCATTCATTCACTCAGTCATTGGATCACTATGAGGTGTCTACAATGTGCCAAACCATGATCCAGGTAGATTTGATCCCAGCTTATTTGAGGCAATAACACCAACTCTTCTCCCTCTCCCTCTCCTTCTTTCCATAAGTGTCTAATTCTAGAGATGACATGGCAAGAGAGGCTGGACTGGTATCATCACTTGCATATTCTTCGTTTTTGGTCTTATACCAGTCAACCTCATATTTTCTCAAATACAGCTGCCTGGATGTCTGAGTGGAGCTTGGTTTCCACATTTAACATAAAAATTCTGGAGCCACTATGTCGATTTGCACAAGTGCAAACCCAGAAAAACAATTTAAACTCCAAGTAGTTTTTTGTTTGGAAATGCTTCCCAAGACAATTTTGAAAGGGCATTTAAAAATAGACTTACATTATGTGAGGTCTTCAATGCAAATGAATGGGACATTATTCTTATTAGTTTTAGCTGGATTTGGCAAATGGATAAGTTCCAAATTGATAGTATTCTTGTCAGCTGTTTTAGGTTTTATCCCAGCTAGCCATGCCTCTGTCTAGTAAAGGAAGTAATAAAAAATACAGTCTTACAGCCAACAATATAGTGATCTTGCTTTTGTAGTTAAAGAATTCATTTATTAATGCTTTCTGTAACGTTAAAATTGCTTCTCAGACTCCAGAATTCATGAAAAGAGAAATGCTTGATTATAAATCAATTTTGTCAAAGTTGCTGTATTTGAAATTCCTTATAATGGGAATGTATATTATTGCTGAGGATGTTATGGTGTACCCTTTTGATATGAAAGAGGTGAACCCCTGTTTAAGGGCATAACTCATACCACACAAATGGCACACTTTCCTCAAGAGTACTGAGATGCACCATGTGAGAAAAGCTATTGGCCATATATGAGAAGTGAAAATTGTTCACGCTGGGGAGGTGGTCCAGCCCATACCACAGCCAGCTGAATGCACTCATGAACCAGCTGCTTTAATTAATCTGAAGACAGATATCACAGTCTCTTCAAACAAACTTTTAGAGGGGCAAAAATAATAATCTGAAAAGTAAAGGAATTCATAAAAAGAAATAGATCATATTGACAGTAGACGGTGTTCTGCTGAATAAGAACTACAAGCGGTGGTTGTTGGAGGTGAAAAGTGTGATGAGGACCACACTCAGCACCACCACTGCTCTTTGGTTCAGACACTGGCTGAGACAGGACAGCGTGTGTGCAGGATAGGAAATTCTGTCATCTTTTAGCCACACTCACCCACACAAATAGCCTTCCATGTCACAACAGCCACCCAGGGGGATGGCCAATCAGTCACTTGCACAAAATGACACATGCACTGACACAGGGAGTGAACCCACACATTTTTGTTTACACTTTAGAAAGCAACAGGGCTGCCCACAAAGAATGATTAGGAAACATTGCACTGTTAAAAAGGTATAGTTTATTCATTCACCTGTATAAATAATTTCCTAGCAGCAGCAGTTACTTTAACCTCCCACTTTAGAACTTCAAGTATTTAAAGGCACTTAAGTTTTTCCCTGCTTTTATTTCGTTTTTTACCTTCTCATAGTGATGAACTGATTTATGAAGTCAAAGCATTTATTTTAAAAGGAATTTCAAATCTTTACTGATGGGAAAAGGGACAAATAATCACTATTTTGGTCAGTATTCATGTAATAGTAATACATTTCTTATATTTTTTTAGAAAAAGAGAAAGGGGATAAATAGACCTATCCGTACAATTCAAAGCAAAAAATAACAACAACAACAAATAAAAAATAAAAAACAACCACACAAAGGAGTGCCTGCCACATCACTGTTTCCATTTCCTCAGTTGTTAAAAGTGATCTCAAGTGTGGCTGCATTCCACCTGCTTTCTTCCCAGCCTCCTCTGTGCCATCACCTCTGCCTCTGGGGGAACTGTTCGTTGTTACTTGTCATGAATCCTGCACTTGGATATCCTGGGCTTCACGTGCAATTTCAGAATCTCAAATGACACTACATAGGCTTGCTCCCAGTCTCCTTTTAGTGCAGTTTGGCAAATATCTGAAATGAACTTCAACTCTGAGTTAAAAATATCAGACAGAGAGAGGGCTGAGCACCTCTGAGGCCTTCAGGGCTGCCCAGAGGCTCCGGAGACTCAGGACAGAAAACCCAACGGCCACAAACTGAAGTGACTGCAGACACCTGCCTCTGCCATCGCAGAGCAGTCCGCCTCAGAGACAGAAACCCCTGAGAAGGTCTCTTGGCTCAGGGCTCTTGGGTACCATGAATATCTGTAAAGGGCACCGGCCACTTTGCCCTCACTCCCCGTAGAAAGCATCATCACCCTCCCCACTCCACCTCCAGCGCTAAGGACAGCAAGCACTGACACAGAAACCTGACCTCTCGGTGGTCTTTCCCCCCACTCCAGTGCTCTCTGTCACTCTGGCTCTCTAGCTGCTCGCTTGAAGTGCACTTTGGTTTTGATGCTAGAAAGGTGGTCATTATAAAGCTACCTGGGGAGGCCACCACTAGATGGCCAAGTCACTGGGTCTGGCCTGACTGTTGCTGGCCTTACTGGCCTTGCTTGACCGTCTGGGTCTGTGGGGAGCACAGGCGGCATGTGCACCCCCACAGCGGGGGTCACTGCCCGCTGCCGCTCATCAGGAGTCCCTTCCAATCTGCTCTCTCCCCGGATGCTGCTGTCCCCATTCTCCAACACGACAGATTCTTTGCTGCCTTCTCTGCCCTCCTGAGGGGACTGCAGGGGGCTGCCTGGAGGGGTGGAGGAGGAGGATGTGGACACAGGTGGGGAGACCTTCCTCACAGAATCTGCTGCCCAGGCTCCTGGTTGGCCCAACTCTGCCTGTCGTCGCCGGTGGTGGTCACTATTGTAGAATTTGTCGGGGTGACCCTTCCCTTGTGCCTGGGAAAGAGCTGCCATGTTGAAGGCTGATGCTGCTGGAGGGGCCCTGGAATGATGATGGTTGTTGCCCATCCCAGGGAAGAGACAGAGTGCATGTAGTAGAAGGGCGCCCCATAGTACCAGTGTCTGTGGCCTAATGGGAGGGGAGTGGGGGCACATCCCCAGATATGATGGCCCCCACCCTGGATTCTGCGGCCTCTGGGTCATAGTGGTTGGTCATGCCCTGTTTAAGCTTCTTCCAGCCCAGGTGGTATATCTCCAGCACGTTGAGTAAGAGGGACAGGCAGGCGATGGCCAGCATGAAGATGATGAAGATGGTCTTCTCTGTGGGCCTGGAGATGAAGCAGTCCACGAGGTTGGGGCAGGGCCACCGGTCACAGTGGTAGAGTGGCTTTAGCTCAAAGCCATACAGATAGTACTGTCCAGCGATAAAGCCCACTTCAAACAGCGTCTTAAAGATGATGTTGAATATGTAGGTCTGGAGCAGGGCCCCAGCGATTTGGACCTTTCCCCAGTCATCCCGCAGAATGAGTTTGTCCTTCTGGCTGTGGTTGCTGGACCCACACTGCCCATCGGGTCTAAGGTGTAGGTTGTCCCCCTTCAACTTCTCTTCCTCCCTGCTTTTCTTCTTCTCTTCCATGCGCATGATGTGCAGCACGTGCCCCAGGTAGATGAGGGTGGGCGTGGACACGAAGATGATCTGCAGCACCCAGAAGCGGGTGTGGGAGATGGGGAAGGCTTTGTCGTAGCACACGTTCATGCAGCCCGGCTGCTGGGTGTTGCAGGTGAAGTCTGACTGCTCATCTCCCCACACCTCCTCCACAGCAGCTCCTAGCACCAGGATTCGGAAGATGAATAGGACAGTCAGCCAGACCTTGCCTATAACTGTGGAGTGCTCCTGTGCATTCTCCAATAGTCTACCCAGGAAGCTCCAGTCACCCATTGCTTCAGACTGCCAGCCTGAAAGGGAACATGCTTGTTAGTAATCGGGTAGGACAGGTGAACTGTAGTTCAACTGCTAAAGGGACAGATGTCATTGTCCCTGGCGGATGGAATAACTGTCATTGGGTGGCTGTTCTATCACTTCCCAATGTGGGGTGTGCTGCAGAGTTCTCCACAGCCCTGTATGTTCATGTGTGTGAATAAGTTTGTGTGCACATGTACATGCACATGAACCTATGTGCAGCTGTATACACACAAATGTGCACATCTATATGTGTGTTCATACTTGTCTATACATATACATGTCAGTGAAAACATGTGCATACATTTGAGTGGTTACATGTCAGTGTGTGTGCACACCTGCCTCTGTGTGAGTGCAGGTACTGCACCTGTATACATTTTACAGTGCATGTGTCTTGCATTTTATGTGTACAAAGTTCACGTGAACATGCATGCACAATGCTCTCATAAGTGTGTGTTTATGAGCACATTGTAATCAGTGTGCACATGTCTCTGTGTGTACATTTTTCAAGTATGTAGCTTGGAGGGCTCAAAAGGGTGAACCACATCTGTAGTTTACCTGTTGGAAATGGCTAAAGGGCACTTCCCCCAAACCTGAATGGGATTGTTAGCCAGACAACTCAGGGCATTTTATTGCCTCCTGTTGGCCAAACACCTGAACAGCTATAGGCTATTCCCAAACTGATAGTGCTTCTCCATTCTACCTTTTGATACATTACCCTTTGAAGTGTATATTTCCACCTTGCCTTGGGACAAATTGTGTTTAATATAAGCACAGGTCCTTGGTCAAGGAGAGAGTCTTTAGCTTCTTCAGCTGAAGATGCTCTGACCACCAATGCCTTTCAAAATTACGGTATCTTTCATCTCCGGACTCTAATCATTTATGAACAGTCCTGTTCTCCAAAACGTTGAACTTTTTGTAAGACTGGGAAAAGAACCCTGGCAGCCTACAACATGAATATAGTATTGTAGTCACCCTACAAAAGCATGGATTAAATGAGACAAACACAAGTTACTTAAGTTACTTCAGAGACGAGGAAATTGAGCAAGAAAGACAAATGACTTTCCTAAAGGACACGGACTTCTCCCAGCTCCTAACTCCACCCTGGCTCTTCCGGACTCTGCCTCTCAGGCTTCCTGTGCAGCTGGCCAATTCCTAATCTCACCTGTCCTGCTCTCATGAGGTTAGAGCAATGTTCTCCCAAATTATGCCATGCTCATTCCACCTTCATAACTTCTGCTGTATTAATCTGTTACCTTCTCCATTTTTTACTTTCCTTTTGAATCTTTCTCTTTGCAAATGGTTCAATCTGTGCATGTCCTTGGGCAGGAGCCTGTGTCTCTGACTGCAAGGTGGGGTCCATGGTCATAGGCAGTGAACTGCCTCTCGAGTAGAGGGAAGTAAGACCCGTGGGCCCACTTTGCGAAGGTGACCGTGCTCCCTGGTCGCTGGGGACCAAGCCTACAAGGTACCCTCCATGTGGCCTCTGCTCAAACGGGTCAGATGCTCCAAAGACAGCACCGCTGTTCCCATGACCAGTCTGTGCGTAAGGAACATGGGCTTGCTTGTGAGTATACATACAAGAATAAAGAATATTCTATCATGTTGAATCTTAAAAAATACTTAACAACACTAATTTTTAGGAATTGGTTTGAAGGCAAATAAACAAACAAAACTTTACTCCCTGTGATCTAAAACACACACACACACACACACACACATACACACACACACACACAACAACAACAGGCAAATGTCAGTCTTCTTTTTGAGTAAACTTCCAATGCTTTGTTTTGGTCACTTGAGCTCCATAGAGAAATCTTAGTCTTCATGTATCCTACCAGCCTCCTTGCCCCATATTATAACTGCTGTCTGTCTTATTCTGCATGTTTTTAGACATTAACAAATTTCATTGAGAAACTTAATTATTAAGCATGAAACAACTCACTCTCCAATGAAGGATGTCAAAAGCCAGGGAATCATTCTAGGTTACATCCTGCTTCTCCTCCAAGCTATCAGTTCTGACTCCTACACAGACCCCACAGCCATCCCACTGAGCTTGGAGGAATGCCATCAGCGCCAGACTGTCACAAGACCCCTGACTCTGCCCTTGGCCCTAGACCCTCCCTCCACCCTGTTGGACATGTGCCTCTGGGACGCAGGACAAGAGCCATGGCCAGTGTGCACAACCCAGGAGGACCTGGACCAGCACTTTGGGCACCAAACTTCCTGTGGGCCCTGAAACACGACCTTTATGCATTAGCACATGCTGTGTCTTCAACTTAAACATGGTCTCAATCTTGAGATCTATTTGTGGAGATGGGAAAATTCAGGAGAATAGGGAGCTCTATAAGGGCAGAGAAGTGTACTAATACTAATACAGTGAAGAGAGCACCTTTTAAGAACAGAGCGAGGTTCCTGTGTGGTGGGAATACGTGTGATCATGTGACTGACACAGGGCGTTGAATTAAAAAGCAGTGAATTTAATGGCTGCTTGTCACATGGAGCTAGGCTGGGGCTGTGTTTGCACACAGTAGGCATTCAGTAAGCACTGGTGGTGCACACGAACCTAAGAACTAGAGAGCCATTAACCCACTGAGAGAGGGGAGAGATGCTGAAGTGTTGTTCAAGAAAGAAGGTGCCTGTCTATAGCCTGCTGGGACTCAGGAGAGGTGTGGTGACCTTGGAGTGAGTGTTGAAGGCCAGGCTGGATGTCAGGAGGGGCAAATGGAAAAGAGGAAAGACAGAGAAGAGAGACTTTCTGAAGACAAAAATAAAGCAGTGTGTAGTGCCTGAGCAGAGCCAGAGATGAGAGAGGTAGGAGTGAGAGAAGAGTCTTACATGCCTGAGCCTGGTGAGTGGAAAAGTTGTGGGGGGATTCAAAGAGAAGGACATCGGGGAGGAGTGCGAATTTGAGATTGGAAGGGGAGGTGAGAACTTTAGTTTGGTGACTGTGGATTAAAAGCAGTGGTGGGAGATTGGAGTGAGAGTGTCCAGCAGAAGCTGGAGACCTGGGGTTAGAAGCAGCTGGGAAGAGGGTCTACACTGGTAGTTCCTCCTCTTCTGGGCGAGGGCCACAGTGCTAAGAATGGAGATTAGAGACAGACATCATGGGCAATGCAGCACAAGAGGTGAAGAAGATACAGAACAGACTCATTGCCTTTGGTGCCTGTAAAGGTGGCCAATGTGTGGTGGTGCCTCGTGAAGGACACATGATCTGACAAGGTGGGTGAGGGCCTAAGACAGAGCAGAGCTGGAGACCAGAGACCCTGCCGGAGAGTCCATAGTCCTTAAGTTTTATTAGGTTCTTGGACTTTGTGCCCTGAAAATTTGTTTTATCCTTTCATATTTTAGTTTCATTATTGTTTCACCTAGTCATCTGGCAATGTTCTTTTAGAAAAGTCTAACCGTGGGAGAAAAATGGTCGGTAGGTCCTGCATATTTGTAAAGATCAGACACCACAGAGCCAGCAGATGCAAGGAAACAGGGAAGGGCTGGGAGAGAGGTCAGCCAGGACCAGGAGAGTTTGACTCCCCTGCAGAGGCCATTCAGACCTCAGAAGGCTTAGGTCCTTGAGAGCAATCATCAAGAATAAGAACTGTCTGAGACCGGTTTGGCTCAATGGATACAGCGTCGGCTTGGGGACTGAAAGGTCCAGGGTTCGATTCTGGTCAAAGGCATGTACCTTGGTTGCGGGCATATTTCCAGTAGGGGGTGTGCAAGAGGCAGCTGATCTATGACTTTCTCTCATCGATGTTTCTAACTCTCTATCTCTCTCCCTTCCTCTCTGTACAAAATCAATAAAATATTAAAAAAAAAAAAAAGAATAAGATCTGGAATGGCCCAGAATTGAGGAGGCTGATTATACATATTCATGTTATGCATAATGCATGTACACAAATAATAGGTTGGTAAAGACCCGGGCTGAAGCAGGATCTGGGAGCAGGGAATAAAAGGGGAAACATCTGTAATACTCCCAACAGTAAGAAAAAAAATTTTTTTTAAAGAAAAAGAAATAATAAGAATTTGAATTAGGAGAGGAAGATACAAACCTTTCCTTAGCAGCAGATGACATGATGTGTGTCTTGCATAGAAATCCAAAGGACTGTCATAACCATGAGAACTAGAAAACGCTTCCTAGCAGTTTGCTGGATATAAAATTAATATATAGAGGCAAGTTCCTTAGTATCAATGATACCCAATCAGGAACTATAATATAAAACCATTTAGAACAAAAATTTTAAAGAGTTAAAGTATCTAAGAATAAATCTAACACAAGATGTGTGAGACCTTCAGGGAAATCACCTAAAGCACTATTTAGTTATTTTTCCTGGAGATTTCTGCTGTTCCTGTTTGTGACATGTTTCTTTGTCTCTGCATTTTGGCTTCTTCCCTGTGTTAGTTTCTATGTATTAGGTAAGCTGCTATGTCTCTTGGAATTGGCAGAGTGGCCTTGTGTGGTAGGTGTCCTGGAGGGCCCAGTCTCCTAAGTGGGGGACTCTAGGTGCACCCCTGTGTGGGCTGTGTGCACTGTCCTGGGGTAGCTGAGCCTTGCTTGTGGTTGGCATCACTGAAAGGGATTTGCCCCTGGCCAATTTTCTGTGCAGACCGGCTACAACTATAGTGGAAGAACTGCTGTGCAGCAGATGCCCTTATGGATTAGGGCTTGCTTCAGTGGGGCTTTGGTGCTCAGAGTCTGCCCCTTGAGTGTGTTGCTTGTGCATGTGGCAGGGTTATAATCTGGCATAGTTTGAAGCTGACCACTGGGTGCACTGGCTCTGGGGCCTCCAGGGAGATACAGTCAGCTACTGCTTGTGACCTCCCTGGAACCACTCTGCTCGAGCTACAGAGTGATGTGCAGATGCTGCTGCTCGTTTTGGGCTTGGAGGTGCCCAGGAGAGGCCAAGCTGTGAACCAAGACAGGCTGCTCCTAGTGCTTTTTACTGAAATGCATGAGGAACACTGAAGTCAACTGCTGC